TCCGCCGGGGAGGGGCGGCCCCTGCACCTCTCCCGACCGACCGCGGGGCCGGGGCCGCCTGCAGGGGCCAGCTCCCTCCGGTGCTCCGACGGGGAGCTCAAGCGCACGTGCGTCTCCACCTCTTAAATTAAAACTCAAAACAAAAAGACGGGTGTGCCGCCCCAAACGCGCGGGGCAGACCGGGGGTGCCTGCGCGGGAGGCGTCTGCGCGCCTGAGAGGACCCCTCCAGCCAGGCCACCAGAAGGCAGGTCCTGCAGAGAAGTCTCCAGCCCTCCCCGGAGGCTGCCCGTCTTTCTGGGACAGAGTCCTTCAGTCTGGGAACAGGGTAGGTTTGCTCGAAACTGACTACAGGGCTCACATTCCCGGGGAAGTCCAGGTTGGGAGCATCTCCGGCCCCCTCGGGGACCCGTCCCAGAACCAGGGACCGGGCGAGGCCTCAACGCTGAGCAGCGCAGGGAACAGCCTTGCCTCCCGGCTTCGGAACTCACTGGGACGGCGACCGGATCGGACCTGAGTCCCGTCCTTGAAAGTGATCTGGGGTAGGAAAGGGGAAAACGGGGGCCTCCGGGGGTCCCAGTCTGGAGTGGAGGCGCGGGTGCTGGGGGCAGCCGGGCTATGGGCCCCAGTGGCAGCCCCCGAGGGGAGGAAATGGCCCTGCAGGTGGTCCGTGCCCCACCCCACCCCCATTCTCTATCAAATACTGGAGCTAACAATTCACCCCAGGCTGCGAGGCCTCTGCCGTCAGTCCCCAAAGAGCCTCCTGCTGGGCGCCAAGGCCACCTCGTGGGCTCCTTTGCATAGTGAGAACCAAACTGGCTGGTCCCCAAGTGTCCCTCGTGGGCTCCAGCCTTTTCTGTTGCTAAAATCTGGGAGCCGTTTCCACCTGGCGCAGGGCAGGAGAAGGTGCCCAGAGAGGAACACCCGCATCTCGTAGGAGGCGGGGCGAGGGCTGGTGGTCGGGACCCCTCCTGGGGCAGCTGGAGCCTCGGAGGCCCGTCCACAGGTACACGAGGGAGCAAGGCTTTCACGCTGTCAGCTACTCAGCCTCTGGCTAAGCAGGAGCCAAACGGCGAGCAAACTTGACCTGGAACCCCACAGATCCCCGAAACTGCACGCCTGACCACCGGGCAGAGCTTAGGGGGCACAGAGCATAGAGGGGAGCCAGGAACCCGGCCAGATCCAGGCATCTGTCCTGAGGCAGCTGATGGGTCCCACGTCCCTGAGTGTGCAGTCTGCACGGGGCTCCCTGGGGCCTGAGGGCCTGGACGGGCCGCTGGGCTGGGCCGGCTTGGACCCTGCACCTCCAGGCACACAGATCTCCCAGTGCAGACGGCCTCTCCAGAGGCTGGGCCTCGGGGGGTTGGCCTGGGGCACAGTCCTGGCCAAGCAGAAGGCTGCTTTAGCCCCGCAGTGCATGGACTCCTGGACTCCGGAGTGCACAGTGGGCCCTAGTGCGATGTTAGCACACGCAGGCTTCTCCCCGGAGCGGGGGACCCGCCACACTTGTCGGCACTACCATGCTTCTACAGCACTGAGGGGCCGCTTGGCTGGCTCTCCCGACCTGACCCTTTCCCATAGGAGCATGCCTGGGCCGGGGTCTCCAGCTGTGCCTCCCTGCTTGCCAGGCAGGCGGGAGCGGGCAGAGCTCCGACCCACGCGGGCTCCGGTGTGCAGGAGTCTCTCCAATCCCCTGACCCCAGCAACAAAGTCGATTTCAAACCACAGAGAGTGTAAGGCGTGTCCCTGCAGCCACCCCACAGCTCATCAGCCTCCACAATCTGAGGGAGCCTGAAGCCAAGGAGGTCACTGGGGAGGGTGCGGGGGTGGGGATGGGGGAGTGCGAGGCCGGAGGCGTGGGCCACACACTCCTCAGAGCTGTGCTCACTTCGAAAACGGCCCTTAAATCTTTTAGGATCAACGAAATGAAAACTGGCCCCCACTTGCCCACACCTGTTCCCCCCAAGTCCCCAAATGTCTGCGGGCGGGACGCAGAGCTGGGGACCCAGGACAACCTGCCTCTCGGCTTCCCTCCCTCGCCCCGCTCTCTCACTGGGACTCCACAAGGCCTGACCTGCTCTCCTTCTAAGTCTGGCCACGCGGGGGCAGGGCCTGGCCAGGCCAGGGCCCAGCCTCGCCAGGACCTTGGCCTTGGAGAAGGCCTGCCAGGGCTGTTTAAGCTGATCGGAGCCGATTGGAGGAGACCCTGAAGGAGCTGCAGCACCTGGGGGCGGGTGTGTGTGTGTGTGTGTGGACTGGCACCCTGCCCGACCCCTGCCACCCTCACCTCTAGGTTCCCCTCCTCCAGGCCGCCCGAGCGGCTGTCCCACCCCCACCCCAGCAGGGTCCTAGCAGGAGGCGAGAGTGCCGTCTAGGGCCGGCCCTCCTTCCCTAGGCCCCGGCCAGGGTGCAGTCTCCGAGTCTCAGGGTGTCGTGCTCTGAGGATTATAATCGCCTCCTCAGCTGAGGGAGGGAGTAGGAGAGGGCCTGAGTGAGCCGGGCGCCCCCAGAGGAAGTCGGGGTCTTCCTCACCTCGTGGTCAGTGGTCTGCTTCCAGGGCAGGGGACCTGCACTGGGCTGGAGTCAGGGGGTGGGAGGCACCCTCTGCAGGTGGGAGCTCCTCACAGCCACCCTGTATTTTCCCAGGTCTCCGACTAACCTTGCTGAGTGGCTCCCTGCACCGGGGTCTTGGGGCCCACTGGCTGGAGCCCGCCTTGGCTGGGCTGGGCGGGCGGCTCCAGGGTTCTGGGGATCCAGCAGCCTTCCTCCCTGCCTCTGCCAGCAGCCACCCTCCCCACCCTGGGCGCGAGTGGGCTCTGAGCCGGTCTGCAGCAATGTCCTAGTCCCCAGTGGGCACGGAGAGACGGGAAGCCAGGCCCTGGGGCCCTCTGAGCGCCGC